AAAAAAAAGCAAAGTGCTGCACATTTACCGTAGAACATGGACATAGATTGAAATACGCGTTATTTTTTCACGAAGGCGAAATAAAAACTATTTCACAAAACGCTTTGCATTCATCGGGGTGTCGACACATCTGTGTAGTGTCATTTATGCTATTTGGATTAAAATTCCCGAATTTCAACTAATTCAGTAACCTATGGCGGAAGAGCCTTTTGAATTTTCAGTTTCGGTTTCTGCGCCGCCGACGCCGCCGCCGCCGACGAAAATTGGCCGCACGCCGCCGCCGATGAAAATACCGGCGTGCGCCGACAACGCCGCCGCCGCCGACTCTGTACGACCCCCACGCCGCCGCCGGTCAAAATCGCCTCGGCCACGACCGGCTTTATAAATCGCCGAGGCACGACCGGCTATTTATAAAGCCGGTCGTGCCTCGGCGCACACCTCTACCGGCGCCATGCTTTGCGGTGACGCCACCAATGTCACACAAACGTGCTCCGGCGCGCCTCCGCGGCATGGCGCCACCGCCGCATTAAATGTGGCGAGCGTTGGCGCTTGGGCAGTTGCTGCCTGTTTGGAGTGGCGGTCGGTGTGTGCGAGTTTTGTTACTTTGAGAACTCGTCGCGCTTTGAATCCTCATTCCCCTAGGTTTTTCGGCGAACAGTGATGTGGCCTGACAAGCAGTGACCCTCAAACGAGGTTAAAATGCTTCCGCGGCGACAAAACCACTGTTTTGCGCCAGGCTGTCGTACGGTTACGTCCACGTGAAGGGCAGCAAGAAGCCGTCTTTGTTCGGCGTTCCGAAGGATGCAGCCCCGAAGAAGCAATGGGAAAGAAATTTGCATCGAGTGGACAAATCCCTGGACGACACATCTGCCGTGTGTGACCTTCATTTTCAGCCGAAGTATGTGCTACGGCACTACGTGCATATAATCTACGTGACTGGACTGCGTGTGACTATAACCAGTGTGCTAGAAATGCTTTCTTATTTGACAGGGAAAGTAGCATTTAAATACATAATGACATCAAAGATCAGCCAAGACCCATTAGAAAATTTATTTGGTGTTATACGTCAGTCATCCGGCAACAACGACCACCCCACGCCAACTCAGTTTTTGTTAACCATCACTTGTCTGTCATTCTATGGTTTCGTGAAAAAGTTAGCCAGGGGAATTGTGACCAAGGCGAGCTAGCTTCATTGCTGGAGATCAATGCTGCTACTGATACATCGCCACAAGACGATTCAGCTGGCAGTGTAAGCACTGTGGATGAGCCTATAGTGCCAGCCCCTATTGACCACAACCAGCATATTGCTAGAAGTGATTCCAGGTTGATCTTTTATGTTGCTGGCTATATTGCACGAAAGTGTGTCATTAAAACAAACTGCGAAGTTTGCATAACACTACTCACGATGCCAGCTCAAGGAGAAGATTTTCAGCTCACTCGTCTAACCACCTTTTGTGACAAAAGTGGACTGTTGTATCCATCTAGCCACCTGTACAGTTTTGTGAGCAAGCTAGAAAACATGTTTACAGAGTGCTTTTCTTGCTACAAGTTGCATTCTGATAGCATTTTGGATGTATTGACAATCGTGAAAGAATAGTTTTCCCAAGAAGTTTGGTGCGCACAACATGCCCCTGGCCTCTCAAAAGACGTAATCAGCTTTTATATTGTTACGCGGTTTTGTGAAAGGCATTAATTCTGATAGAACCGAGAAGCGGGAAAAGGCAAAGCATCTAAAGTTGAGCCGCTGCTCCTGAAGAAGAAATATCCAGTAAGCAACTGTACCCAATATATATCTGATGAATAAATTTTCATGTACTTGTGCCCAGTACTTGGGGAGAGTGGCTTCCTGTTTTTCTTATCTGTGGATTTTTAGTCTTTGCATAGGAATGTTCAGTGCAGAAATAGCCAAACTACAGAGCCAAGATAATGGAGATCTGCAGAAAGAATGAGCAGCTGAAAATTTTTAAATGCTGTGAACTGTATAACATTAGGAGCTCGCGGTTGTGGGCTCACTCCCAAGTGTGTGCCAAGGTCAGCATCGCTAATAATTTCAGACACTCGTAAAAGGCGTGCGTGGCGAAGCCCGAGAAATGCAAAGAATCCAGTTTACAATTGATAGCCGCGCAACGTAAGCTTTGAAAAGTTCGCCATCGCTGCTTATCACTTGTAAGATAATTCAAATGCATCTCATGTTGGCACAGCATCCCTTGCATGCATCGAGTTTTGCATGCAGTTTAATCGCACGAGTTACGCCGACAGAGTTTATGGAAAAAATGTTCCCTACAGCTTTATTCGCACGAGTACTGACGGTATTCGGTGTGTTTCATTTAACATCAAATAACGAGCTGACAGTTTAGCTGCATACACCATGCCACAGTGTTCTAGATGGTTACCTACGCGCACATGTGGGCCAACGGCCTACGAACCTAGCTCCATGCTAGTTTTCTTTATTTTTATTGTCTTATCAACATCAGCATCACCGTTTACACTGCGGAAATTCGCGCGCATTTCCGTCCAGTGCATGGGATAACAGCGCACAAAAAGCATGATTTCAGTTGCGCACCAACGCCTCCGTTAGGCAGTGCCCACGGAGGAAGGAAAGGTAAGGAGAGGGCATACCGAGCCGGCGCGCGGCGTGAAAAGTGTGGAGGAAATGACATCAAGGCGGCCCTATTCACTGGGCACAATGGCGGCGTTGCTATGGTTACGTGTTGCGCATTGGATGGAGCTGGTATAATGCGCGGCCGCTGTTGGCGGTGGCATGTGTGCCTACCCGGGTCTCGTGCCGAGCCGTGGCAGACAATATCCGTGCTCTGCGCCACATTATTGTTTACGCAGTGTTCTTCTGGGAGTTCCTGTGCTCTTAGCAAAGTTTGCAAATCCTTTGGCCATCACGGGGTTTCAACAGTGCGTAGAACGAGTGCATATCTATGTGTCGTGCGGCGGATGACGCGGATGAAGCAGTTAGTGTTCAGCGAAATTGCGTTGGGCACCATGTCGAAGCAGAATGACGACGAACGCCTTGCAGGTCAGTGACGGTTGAGCAGTGCTCCTGCTTGTGACAACAGACGAAGTATTGAGCCCAGCAAGACGCCATGAGGACCATGTGCACATACGTAATTTCGTGTTGTGTGTGTACAGTAGCAACTTGCATATGCGTATTAAAACACCTTTTCTGTTCCGCTTGGTACACTCTTCACCAGCATTGCATGAAATCTCAACGTAACAGCAACCGCGTTCAACTGTCACTAGCACCGTGCTCAAAGTCACCCCGGTCGCAGAATTCTGACGCCGGTGAGTTTCACGCGGAACACGGACACAGTGGCAGGACGCTGCGTCGGCCGCGGGGCGGAATGCAACCGTAGAAGGCGCACGACCGATCGTGTTGTCTGTACAGTTGCTGAATTAATGACTTGAAAGCACTCGCCGTTGTGAGTGCATCTAGCGCGCGTTCTCTCGTAGTTGCTTCGTTGTCGGCGAGCTGTTACTCCCCGTTATTACTCGGACGAAGCGATTTCGCTGAAGGTGTCCCGCAGGCTCAGAGTGATGAGCCCCGTTCCATTAGTTTCGGATCGTCACGACACACGCGCTGCGCAGCCCACGTGCTTTCCGAGCCGGAGAGAGAGTCGTGCCTTCTGCTTTGCATTCGGATGTAAACAAGTGAGGAGAATTTGCCTAGTCAATATGGCCGACTTCCGGCTTCACAACGAGTGAAGTCAGGGCGTCTCCTTACATTTCCTTCCACCGTGGGCAGTGCCTTACATGGATGGATGAATGGATGGATATGGCTGTACCCTTTAGATCGGGCGGTAGCTAGCGCCACCAAGCCTTAATACTTAATGAACCAAAAATTAAATTTATTTTTTCCCCCTTTAAACAGTGAGTTTGACGAATCGTACTTTGCAGTGAAGAGTTTAATTTTCACTCGAGCCTTCACTTTAGCCACCAATCAGATAACCTAAAGGAATTCCTAAATAGCGTGCGGCCCGCCAGGCTCGCGAAAACGCGGTACATTTAGATTTGCGGGAAGCAAACAATATTCTGAAGCTCAATTGGAGCCCACGACGTCTGCTTACACTATTCTAAAGCTCCCTATAGTTTACCGGGCTTAGCGGGATCGAAGTGACCATGCGCATTACCATACGCGTCCCATACTACTCACTGTACGCACGCCATTTTCCGATTAAACGTTACTGTGTTACGTGTGGTTAGGTTGCCTAGCATGGTCTACGTAGTGTACATAAAACATGGTGGCGGTTTTGGAAGGCCGCTTCAAAGTGATTTTGGCGTAGTTGTTACAAGATTCACTTTGTTCGCACCGAACGACTGTTTAAAAGGGCTTTGCTTGCCTTCATTTTCGATGACAGAGCTTCCCATTTCGAATGCCTTAAGGCCTAACTAGAGAATCAATGTAAACAAATCGGCAACATAAATGTTTTAGTACTTGGTGCGCGGTTCATACTTCGCTACTTTTATTATTATCAAAAAAGCTTTCAACATTGCTTCGCGCAGTGACAGGCGAAAATTCTGGTTTTCTGTTCTTTTTTCACTGTTTAACTTGACCTCCAATGGGTGGAGCAGCTAGGGCACATAAAAGCTATCCCATGAAATTGTAATGTGCTGTCCGCAATAAATGTTTGCACCACGATAACGCTATTCCCTTAACCCCCACTTCACTCTAATGGTAAACTATTAGTCTAATATTTATGCTATGAAAGGGTCTTTCTGCAAGTAAAAAGAAAAAAGTCAAGACCACGGTCCCCTCTCTTGAGTTATTTTAGGTGACTGCCCCCCCCCCCCCCCCCCCCCTCCAAAGTGAGTGCCTTGATCTCCCCTTCTGAGACACTGATAAAGAGTTCAGCACATCATGGGTTGTTCGGCGCAGGATGCGCAAAAAGACCAGTTTGGTGCGCAATGACGTAAATGGCGCAGCTGTTCTACATCTGCTGAATGCATTTCTTATTCAAGCGAACTGTTTCATTGTTATCATAGCTTCTCAGTGCATATTAAGACAAGATAACTTTATTTCAAAATGAGGAAGTAAGATTGAATACCTGAAAATTTTTTTTTATACATTATACATCAAAGGACATTATAAAGCCAATGACATGCACTTGCCTAAACACAGACAATTCTATGAAAAGCGAAGTTTAAACAACAACCGAAGTGTGTCAAACAGTGCATTAGAAAACCATCACTACTCTTTTATTCATAAAGAACCATGGCAAATATGATGGCTTCACCTCAAAACACCAGATGAACTGGAAAAAGGAGCTCATATTTTAAAAAAATCTGTTATTATATTTGTGTTTTACATCTGCATTCCTTTCCCTTGTTTTTCCTGAAACACAAAACACGAGGACGTATTTGACTGTTCGACATATGACTGAGCCCAGAAAACAAAAACAAACATACACCTGTGCACCCCCTGAAAAAAAAAATTATATGCACCAATAACTAAGGTAACATGGAAATTCATTGTTTAGCAAAACACTGAAGCAGCCAGAAATAAATGGAAGGAAGACTAGTCTTGTACTGCCTTCACCGGAGATGTGCCTATTAAAATATCAATAGTAGTATGAAAGCAGTCTTTTTTTTTTTTTTAAGTAAAACTCTGAATTGCAGCCTAGGGACCTCAAATAGCAAGAGTAGTATGAAAGGAGTCTTTTTTTTGAAGTAAAACTCAGATCTGCAGCCTAGAGACCTCACGCTGCCACACAAGCTATCAGTAGCAGCAAGCCAAGTTTTATCCTTAATTAAAAAATAAATTACAATGGTACTTCTTTGATGCAAGGCAACACTGTACAATCACAAGTTCTCGAACTTTCTTTAAAAAAAGCAAGGCTTTAAAAATGACTTGAAAAACTATTGGTACAGGCATTGTGGCACAGCTTCTTTTCCACCTCGGATCGTGCATGTATAAATAATAACATAAGTGGTCAAGCTGCTTTGTGCTAACAGCATTCCATGTTTCAGGCTCTGTGGCATCATTCACTTCTTCCATGATGGCTGGCCAAGTTGGGAAGTGGAGCCATGCAGCCAATTTTCATCCCTACAAAGCACCTGCAAAAAAAAATATTTTCACCGTTCACTGTAGCAAAATTGCAGAAGGAAGGTAGGTAACCCACTTTCACCCATGTTCAACCTCAGCTTGAGCAGTAAGGAGCAATCCCAGTGCTGCATGGTCCTCGCTTGCTATGAAAATTAAGCTTTTCTTGACAACAGCTGGTAACAAGCCATCTTTGAAGAGGAAACACACACACCAAAAGACGAAAACACAATGCTGTACTGCAAATGATGATTTATTTTCAAAAAACACAGCTTATGCATGAGAACACACACATGCGCACTGACGAGTACAAAAAAAAAAAAAACTAAAACAACCAAAAACCTGCAGTGCTGCGAAGTTCCAAGTATTGGTCCTTTTTTTTAAAGATGACACATTAATCTTTCCACTTGTGGATTTCAATTGGTTCAATTATTGTTCCCATTTCCTCCTCAGTTCCTTTCAGAAAACCTCTACAATCAAAGGCCAAATGTCCAACATCTCTAGCCGAAACGTGTTTAGTTAATCCTGTGACTGACCAATGCAGACATTGTCAGGGGTGCAAAAGCCAGAAAAAAATTCTGAGCAATTTTTGGACAGCAAAATGCTACTTTGGAGCACCGTAATAATAAAGGCTTACATTTAGAAAAAATATACAGCAGAATCGCGATAATTCAGATTCTGATAATTCATACTTTTGGTTAATTCAAACAAAATTCACTTTTCTGGTTGGCCCTCAATTCTTTTAATGACTTTAAAAGCCTCTTAATTCAACCTCCATCATTCTGTTATTTCATATGTTTTGCAGTTTTTAATGGAAAATATCTGATGCTTTCCCACTACTATTTAAAAATTTGCGTGCTTATATAATCCTAACAGTCTAAAAGTGAAAAATAAGTGCCTCAGGTCTTCAAGGAAAACGTTTCGCTAGTAAATGTTTGCTAGTAGTAAGATATTCCATGCTGTTCAAACATCATAGCCCTATGTAGAAGTTACAGTTTGCAATCTGGAGTGCATTTGGCCCATTCAGAAAAGAATTTGCCTAGAACTGCAAAAATGTAAGTAACCAGAGGCATCAAGCTTTCTGTCGAGAAATCTATATCTGGTTGGGGAAGTCTTAGCAGTGTCACCATTGGCAAGCACCAAAACTATTATCGTTCGGCCATTAAAATAAATAGAGCCAGCTTGGAGGACGTGCAAAAAGCTGCCCGGTCCACATATTTTGCACATGGCATCAATAGATACCAAAACATCCCACGGTTTTTGCTCGAAGGATGCCGAAACTTGGTGTGAATTGAAGAAAGCCCACATGACTAATATAGGAATTGAAGCTAGCCAACACCATCGCACGGGATTTGCTGCTTATTTATGTTGTTCTCACATCCTAAAATGACTCTCCCCTCCTCCGCGGTCCATCAGCTCTAGGGGAGCGGGAGTGACGTTGTCACCTCACAGCCGAATGTCGACGATGGCGCTGCACTCAATTCTCTTGACGTTTCACGCGCGCGCATCGAAGTGAGTCAAGGACCTCTCCGGGACATCGAAGGGTGGGCACACGTTTTCTTTCCGTCCGTCTGCTTCCTTTGTTTGAAGCTAGCTTTGTGATGAATGCCTGTACCATGCCTGTAACAAGCATGAAACAATGCAGGGAGGGGGGGATCACTCGAGTAGCAATAACGAACTTAGATTTTCAGGGCGGTCACGATCGCTGGCACGCTTGCTATCTTGGCGAGTATCAGTGCGGTTTCAATGTAAATGGGCTGTGTGAAAAGAGCACCTTTCCTTGGAGCAGCTGTATTTGCTCACACCAGCATTTTGTAGGAATTCCACGATATCGGATCCAAAAGAGTTGGCTGCCAGCCTTAATTCTTATATCATTACAATGTTTTGCTATCGCGTTCATTTCATTGCATTCAACGTGCCATTGTGTTACCAAAACTAACTGGCTAATCGTGAAAGCTACCAGCCCGCAAACTCGTGGCACAAGACTGAAGCGCCTGACGAGTTGACTTCAAGATCCGTCATCACCATGATCTCGGAGAGTTTCCATCAGCGCCTAATCTGACACTCCCTCAGTGGTGACGACACGGTTGTCCAAAGTTAGGAAAACAAAAGTTGTAGTTTCGCCGCAAGGGCGAAACGATGAATGCGATAGCAACAACTTCGAATGTAACGCTGAGAATAGAAAGCTGATCAAAATGTGCAGCGTGCTGCTCACACACAAATGACGCACAAAAACAACATAAACAGGACGAGAGCGAACTAACAATGTTTACCACTCGACACTTAACGTGCAGTTTAAACAAAAACAAGGCACAAAACGTAATCACAAGTATACATATGAGTGTGAAATAACAAGTGCCCCAGTTGTTACTTTGCTTTGTTTGAAAAGCGCACTCTTTTCACAAATGGCACTTATCCAGCGAGCGAAGTGATCTTTATGTGCCCGGCAACTAAACTACAATCGTTCCGGTCAAAATTGATGAAAGCATGCGATTTCCCCCAACGAAAGATAAGCGTGCACGCACTAGCATGTGCTTCCGCGCGTCGCGACAAGTTGGGCGCCTAGCGCGGGCGGCTTTTTATTTTCTTTTTTGAGTTTTCATATACCCATATATAATATATACGATTCCAAAAACAAGTTCTGTGGGTCCGGTGCACATATAATCAGGAAATAAAGGAGCACACTTATGAAAATTGGATACTTCTTTAACTCTACGTTTCTCTAGAGGGGCTGCAGCGCGAGACGATGATCATGGAACTTTGGCGCTCTTTTAATGAAGAAGTACGGCATATCTAATGCGCTTCATGACAAGGAGGATTGCACACTGAAGATAGCGACAAAGAAGTCAGCGAAGAGGGAAGCAGTGATGACAACTTGGAATGAGCGTAGCATCTCCATGATGCAAATAATTTCAGGGTGGAAGCGGGCTTGAGACTTTTTGAGCAGCTTGGAGAGAAGAAATAATGAGGTTTTGGAGCAGCTTTGGTGCAGTAAAAAGGGAATCTTGGAGCAGTTCTGAAGCAGCGAAAGGTGTGTTTTGGAGCGCTGCTCGAGCTGCAGAGATTAAACGCGACAGCCGATTTCCGTCGCTCCGAGGGCCACGTGCGTTAGCGTCCCACCGCATGTTAGAACTGCCGTCCAATGCTCGAGCAGAGAGAAAACGGGCCGCCAGCCTTCAACAAGCATGATAAGGCATGGGCGAAAAGGGGCTCGCTCAAACAGCAGCTGTGAACTTTGATTCTAGTCAAGGGTGCGGTGCATAGCTTGTGCGCGCGAAATCAGCAAGCATCAGTGCACGGCTCGTAAACCCTTCTATATGGTGAGCTTTTGAAGGAAAGAGATTGTGTAATAAGAGCATTTCTCCCTGAAGCAAACGTACTTATTCTCTTGCACCAGTGTTTTGTAGTTGTGAGTGTTGCCATGTCAGATTCAAAAGAGTTAGCCGTCAGCCTTCGTACTGTCACGGGGTCGGGATGTCGACCAAGATAGCAGCTGCTGTTTTCATGAGTGAGCTTTTTATTTGTGCTAATCTGTGCCTGGAAAACTAAATGTCACTCTACAAGCAATGCACACTGTATACTGATAGCAGTTTATATGACAAAAAACTCGCCGCACCGTTGCCATACTTACAGATACACTCACATATTTGCTGTGAAAACACATATAGAGTCGCCTAATCAGGTATACACAAATGCCAAATTAACAAGAATTGTGCATTGTGTTTACGTGGTGCAAAATTCATGCACGATTCGAAATTTATGTTTGATTTGAATGCGCTTGCATCCTTTGTATAGCTCACGCGTGCTGCTCGGTCCATGATAAAACTCTCAACTAAATCTAGCGTTGCACGTGCTAATTTCTTTCTAGGCGCGGCTTGGCACTGCAGGTCAGATAGGCACAGCATGGCACAATTAGCGCAGCAATTCCACCCCTGAAATAAGCAGCTCAAAAAACCATGACAAAGAAACAAACACAACAGCCTAGCGGCTATATGTTTCTCAAGTTTTTCGCATCATGAACCGACTGCTTTACTTCACCTTCATGCTCTTTGTGAACACTGCCTTCGCTGTTTCGTTTAGCCTACATTCGAGGTAAGCTTTTTTTTTTCTTTTCCCGGGCCTCAGACCTTTAGAGATCAGCTTAGAATTTGGGTGGGCCAAGATTCGAGTAAATATGGTAATTGTAAGTTCAGGCCGCATGCTGCACTACAGTGTTTCTCGTCCACATGTTCTTGAGAGCCTCGAATACTGATTGGCAGTGTTTTATGACCATGCTGAAAAACTGAAAGCACAACCTACCTTCCTCAGTGCCACAGATTTGTGGAGAGCGTGTGCCCCTGGTGGGCTGGGTTGCTTGACCAAGACCCCACAGCAGCTGGGTGCCCCCCCCAGGCACTGCTGGAACCGAGCTGCAGACTAGCCATCTGCTGTTGCAGCTGCACACATGACCCCCATATAAGAGCTGCCACAAACTGAAAGGCACATGACACACCTGGGGTATGTTGGCTGGCTGTGCCACTGGACTCAGGAATGGGTTGCTGTGGAATGGCTGCCCCTCAAAATTGTCACTGCTGCTTGCAGCCAGATGAGGTTGCTGCTGTAAATGTTCATCAATAATGTCAACATCCTGTAGTTATGCTTTGTTTGTGATAGGTGTTCTTCAACCCACTTGAGATCAGCAACGAATTTGCTTCTATAATTTGAGCATTGCCACTTGAGAATGCCAACATAAGTTATTCACACAACAGTCAAATCTCAATACAGTAAACTCCCTTTAAGACGTACTCTATTAAGACGAACTCAGGAATGTTAGTTTGATTTCCCATAGATTCAATGCAAAAAAAAAATCTGCTTAAGACGAACAGCGTAACACGCCTCTTCTGTTAAGACGAACTCTCACAGGCTTCTCGTTCGTGCGTTCGACTTCGGCCCTTGTGCGGCAGTCGTCGCGCCCTAGGCAAGCGTACTTGCTCGGTCTTGCGGAGTTCCCTATACGGCCTGCAAGCCCTTGAGTGTCGCACTGTGCTGCATCTTGGGTTAATGAACCCGTTGTTGTTGTTATCCTGCCTCGTGCATGGTTTCTGCGCCGTGCCGGAGAAAACGATGAACCCGGCCGCAGCGTCTTCGCACACAGCGGCAGTGGAGGACGTCGCATCCCTACACGGTTGGGCTTAGTAGGTAAGCCTAGTGCAAACCTGTCTCCTCAGTCAATATCAACAATACGACACCGGCACACAGCCAACGACCGAACAGGGCAACGACCGACATGAGCACATGTCATAGCAGTGCGAGCACCGCGCTATCTGAGGAGCACCATTGTACAAACACCTCATTATCTTGGAGGCTTTTATTCCAGCAATACCGCTTCTCCCGGTAGTATTGGGCTCAACAAAACGACAAAGGAAAATGAAAATGCAAGTTACACAGCCCTAAGTGCATCAACGCTGGGCCAAGGCACCATTTAAAAGTGCAAAGGACCAATCGACAACCTCAGTGGTACACAAGCTTGCACCACTGCGCATGCTATGGGGATTGGTCAGGCAAAGAAAATAGGTGCAAGAATCGTTTTTTGAAATAGAAGGTCTATGTTTTTCGTTTTTCAAAATAGAAGAAAAATGTGACCACCATGGTCTACTGTTTGTTTGAGAAGTATTAAAAAAAAAAAACGCCAGGCCTGCGTGGAAAGCGCAGCACAGTAACAGCGAAAGCTAGAAAAGCAGTCTTTTAGAGCCTTTTTGAAACACTAATTGGTTAACTACTGCAAGCGCACTTGCTTGATACCCACTGATTAATTAATAATAAATATATTTGTGTAGTAGACCGGCATTCGCTATGCTATTTTTCATCATTCTTCTGAGAAACATGGTATTCGCTGAACACTTGCGCAGAATTTTGTGTCAATTGTTTATGCAGTGGCTGACGACGATGAGGATATATGGCTGAAGTGGGTATGCGCCACAATTAATAGGGGAACCAGAACAAGCTTTTGTGATGGGCAAAGAAAATTGGACGGCATTGGACTGCCTACTTGTTACGCTATTCGTATTGTGCGACGACTGGTTCTTTCGCTGTTAAGACGCTTTATAAGTTGTATTAACGCGATTATTTACCAACCATCAAACCATCCAAGGCAAGTTTGACAACTAGTCACAAGCACCGGGTGTAGCTCAGTGGTAGAACACTGGGCTGGCACCCAGCGGACCCAGGTTCGAGCCCGACGGTGTCACTGGTGCTAGGTCAAGACTGCCTAAGGCAAGTTTGACAAGTTACAAACACCGATGTAACTCAGTGGTAAAGTACTGTGCTGGAACCCAGCGGACCCGTGTTTGAGTTCCACAGTGTCATTGTTGGTAGTTTTTTTTTCTTCTCATTTCGTGTGATGTGGTTACGGATACCTATGGCGGACAACTGTGCATGACTTCAGTTGTGATCTCCAACAACTTTCACTGTAAAAAAATTATAGACCATCTCCCCATAGGGAACCCTGATGAAATTCGAAGCAGCAGCGGTGCATACGGCGTTGACCCTGTTGAGATGGGCGTCGAGGCAGGTGCTGGAAGAACAGTCTGAAGCGAAACTCTGTATAGCGTTTACTCGAGTGAAGGTTTGTTTGAAACCCAAAGACACGGGAGGCAGGTTGGGTTTCTTGCAAGTTTAATCGCAGAAAGACTGTTCGCCCGATGTGCGCTCGAACGTTGCGAGTGGTGAAGATGGTGAAGTGAGAAAGATGACACGTGGGGAGCGGTGACAAACTAGGGAGAGAGTGACGTCATTGGGCGCCCACTGCGAGGGAAGGCGTGACCTGCTTGGCACCATCCCAACACATGCGGCCAGGGGAGCGTGGTGCGAACGGAGGGACAGCGTTACGCAGACTAGTCAAAGATCTGCTCCGCATCTAAAACTGGCCCTTTAAGACACACGGGCAGTAAAATTCAATACATTACTCTGCAATGCTCAGTGTTCCAAAATAATTTTGCATTGAACCAGTGATCATTTGAACAAATATTTAAAAAATAGTTCTTTGCCTGAAAAAATCTGTGAAAAATAGTATTTTTACATGTTAAGAAGAGTAATGAAACTAGGCCTGCCTACAGTATCCGGAATAGTGTAAATATGCGGTTTTATTACGATACCTTGACTAGTTTTCAAGTTAGCCCACGCATCTTGTTCCGATTATACAGTCCGCTTGTGGAAAGCCAAGCACTGTAACAAAACATGCTAGAAAGCTGCAAGTTGTTTTCATCTTCCCCCCCCCCCCCCCCCCCCCAAAAAACACTACAGGAGATCGTAGTTTCAAAAATTGTGTGTGTGTGTGTGTGTGTGTGTGTGTGTATATATATATTGTAAGATGGCGTCGAGTACCCTCAAGACTCTTCTTTATTGTCTCAAGTAAGTGTCTCACAACCTAAACTTGACTGCTAGCGATGATGAGTATGTACAGATGAAAAGATGGGACGCAGAAATAATGCTCACACTTATTTTCTCCGCGCACTTGAGTGGCCCGCCCGGCCGAGACTTAGGTGGGAAAGGTACGGCGAATAAAGGGTTCAAGACGTAAAACCGGGACTATCTCGGAGGCACGGTAACGATGGTCCGAGGAACCCTCGATGGGAGTGACAAGGTAATTGACAGGAGATGTTCGTTCACAAACAACGTAAGGTCCCAGAAAGCGTGACTGAAACTTTACACACAATCCTGGAGTGCGAACAGGCGTCCACAGTAGTACTTCACCTCCAGGACGGAAGATGACGTCTCGACGAAAGCTGTCATATCGTTGCTTGTGGTCTTGTTGACTGGCCTCCGTGTTGAGTTGAGCATGTTGCCGTGCCTCAGCGAGCCTGGAGACGAAATGTTCCGGCGTAGTCGTGGACGTTTTTGTCGTTACATTGAAGAAAGAGGCGTCAATGGTGAATGTCGGCGCACGACCATAGACGAGGAAGAAAGGTGAATACCCGGTGGTTCGTTGAACAGCGGTGTTGTGTGCATATGTTACGAACGGCAAGATTTTGTACTGTTCGGTCTGATGTACATGGATATCATGTCGATTAGAGTCCGGTAGAATCGCTCTGTCAGGCCATTTGTCTGCGGGTGGTAAGCGGATGTGGTCTTATGAACTGTGCCACAAGTTTTCAGGATTTCCTCGAGAATTGTGGACAGGAAGGTCTTGCCTCGGTCACTCAACAACGCGCGAGGTGCACCATGAGGCAACACAATGGCTTCTAAAAAGGGCGAGAACATCTTCGGTTTAAGAAGTGTAAGACTCGCCAGGGCGTTGAACACGTGCACCAAGCCTATTCTTGGAGATATCCGAGCGGACTGACGGGTTGGTGAAAATCTGGTGGAGCTGATGTGTAAAGGTGGGCCATGTCGAAAAATCTGTGGCGTGGTTGAAAAATCACGTTTTTGTGACGCCGCTCAAGTAGAATGCAACGTGAGTTAGTTTTGCAGGCTCATCCCAGTTGTTGATAACACTCACACGGTCATACTCCTCGAGGCAGTCTTCAACGTCTTCACCCAGAAGCCCTGCGAACAGCGGAGGATCCTTTTGAGGGCTGGTGACCAGGTGAGAAGAGTTTAATGGCAGTGGGAGCGGTGGCGAAGCTGGCGCGCTGGGCTGGTCGGCTTGCGACATTACTGAACCCAGGTCGTTTAAGCGGCGGCCTGAACGAAGCTCCAGGGATGTGTTCTAGAAGAGGCTGGGGTTGTCCGAGTTTGCGAGAGGACGCAAGAACTGGGCAGCACCTCCACCACTTGTAAGATGGCGTGAAGTACCCTCAGGACTCTTCTTAATTGTCTCGAGTATGTGCCCCACAACCTAAACTTGACTGGTGATGATGAGTATAAACAGATGAAAAGATGGGACGCTTAAATAATGCTCACAATATATATATATATATATATATATATATATATATATATATATATATATATATATATATATATATATATATATATATATATATATATGTGACGTATGAAGTGATGGTTTGTAGAAGCAGAGAAGGAAGAAGAAGATCAGAACGGAATAAACATGGGGTATGCGCCAGGCCACGTCGCCCATTCATCATAGCGTCACACGAGTCGACAGGATGGAGACCTGCCTGCCCCTTCATCAGTCACTCATCATCGACGCAGTTCCCCAGAAGACGCCCTGACCATACATTGACTACCGAATGATCGCCTAGAAGGACAACGACCAGCACCATGACAGAACCATCGGCTGACCTCGACATCCCCAAGTACACCGGATCAGCGGACGACGGACCCGTACAGGACTGGTTCAACCTGTTCGAACTCCACGCTACCGCTGCATCTTGGTCGGAACGGGAGATGGTTACGAACTTCAGCGACTACGTCACCGGTGAGGCATTTAAATTTTACCTTATTCACATATTCGAGAACGACGAGTCATGGCGAAAAATCAAAACACTATCGTCAATTCCTTAAACAGTCCTCAATCATTCGAAAGCCCAGTGCGAATCGACAACTGCCTCAAGACGAAGTGGCACATGACTTTACTTACAGAAGGCCATGCGTATATTGGGAAAAACCTAACCGTCGAGCGCGCATCCCTTCTGCGCGAAAGTCAGCATTTCC